GGGGGGCAACCTGTGAAGGTAAATGTTTGATTGATGCATTGAAAAAACATTTTCAAAATAAAAAGGAGTGCTTTGGGGGAAGAAAAAAAGCAACTGAAACTACAATTGACCTTTATAAAACTAACTAGTACACTGGTAACACGCATTTCGGTGCCAAGAAAATGCCAATGGTTAAAACAAAGAACCCCCCGAAACTAAGCAACTTCTAAAAACGAATTCAAACGAAATGAAACTAAAATTAAGTCAAAACGAAATTCAAATCGACTGTCATGAAAAATCCCAAACTATTCTAAGCCTGGTTGGTACCTTAGCAAAACGGCGTCAGCGCGAAAGGGGCCTTACGGCGAAACGCCACCTCAATCCATCGGATTGTTTCGCCTGTTTCGTGACATGACGGGGCGGGGACACAGTTCTCATAATAAGAGGTCAGTGGGACAGCAAGCATCTGCGTGAAAGCCTTCAGCAGATTGAAGGGGCGCTCCACCAAGAGGGTCACATGGGGAGATTACTTTCAGAACGACGAGCGCACGTCCCGACAGACGGCAGGCACAAGGACGATGCCGGATACCCGCTCGGTCTACGTGACACCCTCGCAGAGAGGCCCGAATGCATCTCCTCTCCGTCCGGCCAGCATAACTTGCCGTTTCACGGTGTGCGCGATCACACACGCGCGCGCGCACACATCACATCACACCGCTCCATTAATCACACGCAACCCAGTTCTGCCCGACGAGCCCACATTCCCTCTCGCTGTGCCGCAGGTCCACTTTGCAGTCTTTGTGGTTCTGCGCCGGCTAGACCCTGACGGACTTCTCAAACGGCAAACAATCACGCTAGTAGCAATTTATTGTGGCTATCCAGAGCAAAAATAAATTTAATTTTTTTTTTAAAGAATAAATACATTTTTAAAAAAGGGGTGTAGTCCGGACCAATTTTCAAATCTTTTTTTTTTTTTAACCAGAACAAAAAAATATAGCGCGACTGTCAAGGAAAAAGAGAGGATGGTCACAAAAGAAGATGAACCAGGCGTGAATAAGGAGGAAGTTTGGATCTTTGCGATATTTTTTTTCAGAGGCTGCTGACAAAGGTCATCAATCAATCACCCCATTCCTCGACTGCACCCGTGCTATTCGCCAACAGACTCTCCGTGCTTTGCTTTCGAGCGTCACACACATATGGAACTAGAGGATGCAAGTTTTTTTTTTTTTTTTTTAAAATACATACACAGTATAGAATGCACCTTTTAAAGTCACTTTTATGTTCTATACCGGTAGGTACTCTCTATGTTCAGGGTTCAAGATTTAGATCAGTTTGGGCACCCGGGGACCCTAATTTCTTAATTGTACGCCGAAAAAAAAAAAAAAGGCTTTTGAAGGGCGGGATAGGACGGTATTGGTGACTCAGAATACCTCTGTAGCAAATGTTTAATATTTGCGATAAGTGCATTTTCTTTTTGTGAACAGAGTGTTCGATGGATAAAAACGAGTACAACTAACTACTACAAGTACGACTTTTGAGGAAGTTGCCTGGTTTGTGAAATCAGGGTTGAAAAAAAATGACTTTTATGATCACCACATTTTGTTCCGTTGGCTTGTGGAATCAGGGTTGAAAAAAAAATGACTTTTATGATCACCACATTTTGTTCGTCATTTATCAGACAGGTTAGCACGCCCACCTCACGGTGAAGAGGTGCAGGGTTCGATTCCGGCTGCGGCCTTCCTGTGTAGAGTTTGCATGTTCACCCTTGCCCCTGTGTGGGTTTTCTCCGGGTATTGCGGTTTCTTCTCACATTCCAAAAACATGCATGGCAGGTTAATGGAACACTCGAAATTGTGATTGTGAGCGCAAATGGTTGTTCGTCTATATGTGCCGTGCGATTGGCTGGCAACCACTTCAGGGTGACCCTCCAACAAATGCAGGTATGTGCGTTTATAAATGAACATAATAATTTACTGAAAATTATTTTGCGGACCCCCCGGGGACCACCTGAACCCTCTTTGAGAAGCACTGAATTTGACCAAGGTGCTGACACCGGGTATTGTGGTTTCCTCTCACATTCCAAAAACATGCATGGCAGGTTAATGGAACACTCGAAATTGTGATTGTGAGCGCAAATGGTTGTTCGTCTATATGTGCCGTGCGATTGGCTGGCAACCACTTCAGGGTGACCCTCCAACAAATGCAGGTATGTGCGTTTATAAATGAACAATAATTTGCTGAAAATTATTTTGCGGACCCTGGGGACCACCTGAACCCCCTTTGAGAAGCACTGAATTTGACCAAGGTGCTGACACAAGATTTGGATTTGGTCTCTGAGCCCAACGCGATTGCTGCAGCCAACGCATTTTGCCGTACCGTGTCAAGCATCTTCAGGGAAAAAAAAAAAAGTGCATTCTGAAGCGCAGGTGGCCTTACCCAGGTAGAGAGACGCATTCTCCTTCTTCACGTTATCATCCAGATAGGTGGGCCCGAGGGTGTAGATGGGCGTGGACCCCATGCCCACCAGGATCTGGGCGCAGATGAACAGCGCCACGTAGAGGTTGTGTTCGTTGCCTTCGTGGTCACGGTGGCACGACGCCGCGTCCGCCACCTCCCGCTCGCTGCCGTTGCCGCCGAGGCAGAGACCCTCTTGGCCCACCGACGCGTTCATCTCCTGGATCTGGTATGGCGGCGAGATGAAGTGGGGCAGGGAGAACAGCGCCGCCCCGGCGGCGATGACCACGGCGCCGACGGCCAGCCAGCGCGGCCTCTGGCCCCGGCCGCCGAAATACGAGATGAAGACCACCACCAGCAAGCTGCCGATGTCGAAGCAGCTGACCAGCAGGCCCGACTCGGAGCTGCGCAGGCTGTAGCGCTTCTCGATGGTGGTGATGACGCTGCTCAGGTAGCCCGAAACCATCAGGGACTGGATGAACGTTAGGTAGCACATGCAGAACAGGAAGCAGCGCGAGTCTCTGAGGATAACGCGCACGTACTTCCTGGCCGGGATGCGGATAAGGCGAGAGAGGGAGAAGCCGACCTTCTGACCCCCATCCGGCCTGTCGGGGTCCACAGGTAGGGAGCTGCTGAGGCCCACCATGCTGGACACAGAGGGGGAGAAGTCTGTCCTGGAGGAGGGCGACTCGGGGGTTTTAGGCGACGGCTCGTGGTTCTCTTCCACATGAACGGCAGCGGCGTCAAGCAACGCGGCTTCCTTGCAGTGATTCTGGCACGGCGCGTTCAGGATGGGTAAGCTTTTGGACTTGAAGCAGCTTTCAGAGTCCAGGTACTGGTCCTGGAGCTGGAGGATCTCCAGAGATTCGGAGTGATCGCTGCCGGTCTCGTCACTATCTGAAGACGTCATGGCGCAGCCAGGTGAGAGGAAGAGGAGGCGGAGGAAGGGAGGTGCAACTCTGAGGGGGCCCCGGCTGTGCTGGGAAGGCTGCTAGTGCGACATGGGGACTCAGTTGGGAGGCGTTGAGGACGAAATTAACGACCTCCCTGCCGGCATCAACGCACCAGACTGGATGCCTCGGGTAAAGGACATTTTTTTTCCAACTGTTGTTAAGACGGCGCACCGAGAATCAAATTATCCTCACAAGCCAATAAGCAAAACCTGTGACTACAGTCCAGGAGTTCTGAATCTTGGGGTAAAAAAAAATAAGATCATCTGATTTCTGTCTGATTTAGACTCCCATTGTGGTGCTGCGTGTTATGGCTCTTTGTTAGATGCTCGTTTTCTTTGTTCCACAGCAGAGCAGCAGCCTAGAGACACAACAAACAACAAGTATTGATGGTGTCCAGAATAAGGACGTGTGCATTTTACGCCTCAGGAAATCCTGAGGCCAGGCAATTCAGAAGCTGAATCCTTTCAGGTTGAAAAGCTTTTTACACACACAACTGTATTCTTCTCATCGAGGATCATGATTTTTAAAAGTTGCATATGGGAAAATTACAATACAAACAAAAGAAATAATTGTTTTGGATATTTTTTCCCCACTTGCCAAGTTTGTTCTGTAGCTTGTTTTATCCCCAGGTGAAATTTTACATTTTGGAATTCACTTGGGAGAATGTACTTTTTAAGTCCTGTTATTTTGCGCCATCAATATATTCAAGACACTGTTGTTGCTCTGTAAGAGATATTGTGCACTGCATATTTTCATTTTGTTTAGTCTATGTACATTTGAATTAATGTTGTTTGAAAAAAATAGAGTATGAATAAAAATACGATATTGAAAATGATTATTTTGTTTACTGCCACAATTTCTGATATCATTTCCGTGTGCAGTTTGCCTGCGTTGACCAAACGGTCGCGGATGCACTTTGTAATCACGAAACTACTGAATTCTAAACCAACAGCCGCCCTCAAACACCACAAACAAAACATACGACCAAGTGACGATGTTGTCAAAACGTCCCAAAAGACTAAAACGAAAATAAATATTAAAAAAACTGCAGCATCTCTCCCTTTGTCACCGCACACAAACACAGTTGGAGAACAAAAGAGCACGCTGTCACTAAACGTCTCACTCAGTCACTCTGACGACAAACACGGCGCGACAATGCCACAATATAGATATTATCGTACGAATTTGTCCCGAAGAGGCGATACATTTGAATAAGTTGCTGAGAATGACTTTAAAGGGCGGCTGTACTCACACGGGGCACAAAAGAGGTAGCCTGTTGTTGTCCTTGTAGCGGGCGCTCGCTGAATGAAATCTGTTTGATGCGCAGAGCTGGTGCTGTTGGCGGCGCCTCCATGGACCGTAGGAAATTAGGCAACTTTTGTAGTTTCACACCACAAACAAAACATACGACCAAGTGACGATGTTGTCAAAACGTCCCAAAAAACAAAAACGAAAAAAAATATAAAAAAAAAAAACTGCAGCATCTCTCCCTTTGTCACCGCACACAAACACAGTTGGAGAACAAAAGAGCACGCTGTCACTAAACGTCTCACTCAGTCACTCTGACGACAAACACGGCGCGACAATGCCACAATATAGATATTATCGTACGAATTTGTCCCGAAGAGGCGATACATTTGAATAAGTTGCTGAGAATGACTTTAAAGGGCGGCTGTACTCACACGGGGCACAAAAGAGGTAGCCTGTTGTTGTCCTTGTAGCGGGCGCTCGCTGAATGAAATCTGTTTGATGCGCAGAGCTGGTGCTGTTGGCGGCGCCTCCATGGACCGTAGGAAATTAGGCAACTTTTGTAGTTTCACCACCAAAAGCGACACCAAAGGAAATATGCACACACTATTCCAATTCAAAAGTTATTTTAATATTAATTCGTAGCCTATAACTAAATAGTTACAATAATTTACGAGGCGACGAAAAACGTGTGTTTTTGAAGAAACGAAGTCCCTTGAACCATCTTGGGACTAGTAGTTTCCAGTTTTTGATGACATAACTAGCTAACGTTAAAAACCTAATATTAACAAAACACGTTACATTTACCGCAAACAAACTGGAAAATTAGCACTACTACGTTTTCAGGAGCGGTATTATACTGACATAGTGACGTCGAATAAACAAGACTCGAAACCTCCATACTTCTTGTACCGGCATGCATTTCGGCCCACTATGGCGGCCTGTTGAAGAGGACTCCGCCATACGTCATCTCGACAGCTGGTCAAACACAAACGCCATTCAGCACACTAGATTTGTAATATTGTAATATATCACTGATTTAAATATCACACACGAACGCCATTTGGCACACTAAATATGTAATATATAACTGATTTAAATATTATTACTGGTTAAATATTATTAAATAAGACAGCACATCGCACTATTTGCAATTTTAATAATCTGATTACCTGTTTTAATAATCTTAATCCCTTGTAAAACGCACAACCACCCCTTTTTCCTCACTCATTTCACCACCAATCTGGCACCACATAAAAATAACTGTGGGGGGGGGGGGTTAGAGGGGGACGTCACACGATTGACTCACCGTTTATTTGCACATTTGAAAATGTGTGTTTTTTTTTTTTTGCAAATAATATTTCGGGGTTCTTATCTGCTACCAAAAGAAACCCAGTAAGTTTCTTAAAGTGTATGGGAAATACTCGAGTAATTCTGATTTGTACATAAAATGTGTATTCTTGTGTGATCTGAAAGAAATGGAGGAGGAGAAACTGCAGCAGCTGACAAAGCATTGTTACAAACGACTCCAGTGACGTGAAACTCCATTATTGGAACAAGACTATGCCACTGTAAAAAAAAAAATGACACACACACATGAAGTGTATGCAGTACATCAGTGATTTTTTTAAAAAACAGATGTATTCAACTCATCGACCACCAGATGGTGTCGCAGTATCGTCGCTGTAAAACCGCCATAAAGGAATGAGCTGCAGCTATTTGCAAGAGTCAATTTTGACACGGTTAAAGTACCGTGACAAAGGAAAAGTTAATCCGCTGATGCAATACACTATTTGCGAAATTGTAAAATGCAAGAATATTTGTGTGTATTTGTTTACTTTGAGAGGAAAAAGATGCTTTGGCACAGAATACTTCCACTACAAAGAAATCACCAACTCTGGAGACAAAAAGGAACTTGAAGGGCTTTTTTTTTTTAAATCAATTTCCAGAAAAATCAAACAACCGTAGAGACATCTATGAGGGAACTATATACTACATGAAATCAAACTTCTGCTGACAGGAAAGTTAAGCATGTGAGACACGGGCAAGTGAATGCGATTCGGAAGCCCACCGCTAGATGGCGGCAACGAACTTCACAACATCCAGCCACAATCAATTCACATTGAGAGGAAGGACAATAGCAATTGGCAGCGGGGGGGCCCAAGATGGCGACCGAGTAGACGGACTTAACTAAGCTGGCGCCTATTAAATTTATTAGGTTGTATATGTTTTATATTTGAATACTGTGTCTACTTTGTTCTTCCCAACATTTGTTTGTGAATTGAATTGTTCAATAAAGGGGGGGGGGGGGGACAATCTCAACTGGTAACAGTTATGCAACATCAAAATGGTTTGGAAGAACATTCGGTGAAAGTCAAGTTTATATGTACTGTGTTTTTATGTAGTCCACCAGTGTTGAGGGCATTTTTTTAAAAATGAAGCAACCTGTTATAAATAAATGTGGGTGTTTTGGGGCGGGTTGGCAGTGGAATGATTGCATTTGCATTCATTTTAATGGGTTAAGAGGATTTGGTTGTGTGTGTAAAATATGAATGTGTTACAGAACAAATTAAAACTTGAGGCACCATTATAGAGCCTATTAGTTTGTAAACAAGATGAAAGATTGTTTTGTTTTAAGATGAAAGATTGTTTAGTTTGGGAGGTTTTTGGTTTTTTTTTTTGCTATTTTTAACATTTCATATCATTTGTATGCTCAAGTGAAACTTAAATCGTCCTGATGATGACATCAGCCGCAAATGTTCCCGCTGGCCTTGGAAGAGGTAAAAGCCACAGTGGAGGAGGGGGCGCGCACACTCTTCCTGTCAACCGTTCCTACTTCATTGACACGGACAGGAATCGCTAATCAAAGTCTGTCTGGTTCTCCGACGCTGACCCGTGTTCATTAATACAACATGCACACACACATACACGAAAACATTATTCAGCCTTGGCTAGCTGCTGCGACATGTACGGTAAAATGAGGCGAGGCCTCGTGTGACCGGAAGTATTGAGAAGCAGAGTGCTTCATGTTGCAAAATAGGCTTTCTTTTGCGGTGCAAATAGAGGATGTCGTCATGACTTTGTTTTAGTAAACCAACAGGCTGGCCAGTCATTCCTTTGTATTGCAATACAATTTTTTTTTTAAATGGTTCGACTTTGTATTGTTAGTAGTCGGCTGCGCCACTACTTTACGTTTTTCTGTTTGCGTTTTTCTGCAGCTCGTCTTTTGAGCACCTTCCAGGAAAAAAAAGGCCTGGCTTTGAATGAGTCTTTTGTGTTGTATGTTTAGAACCGCATACAGTCGCGCTTGCTCCCTAAATGAGCCTTTTCAGTCGACGCAAGCCCAGCGAGCAGCTGATGCATACGAATCCCAACAGGAGGGTGCTGGTGTGATTGTGTTTAAAAAAAAAAAAAAAAAGTACAAGGGGAAGCCATGCCCCCACCACCAGCTAAAAATAAAGACCCCCACCATGATGAGCAATTGGAGCAGAATGGGCTCTCCTAACTCCCATTCCATGCTTATGCGAAAGCCGAGCCACCCAGTGAATGACAAAAGGTGGCTTCCTAATCAACGACGAGGACATGAAGAATAATGCAGTCCTTTCTCTTCGCGCTGATGCTCAACACTGATAGCGCGCACAAGCAAGCGCGCTCCCATGCTGAGGGATGGAACAACATTCAACGTGCACTCCAGTTCTCAGCGGGAGGCCATTCGGGGTCCTCGGAGAAGGAAAAAGTTTTGTATTTTTGTAGGAGATGGGGAAGGGTAGTAAAATAAACCCACTTTGGACATAATGAGGCTTCTTGCAGATTTTTATTAGATTACACCCAAGTTAAAATAACACCATCTACTTGTCTAGTCAAGACCTATATTTTTTGTTGAACGCTTGATTTTATTGGATGTAAATCCACTATGGGCCACTAGATGGCGGCACCCTTACGTGTCAATTTGAAAGAACGAAAAGCGTCAGCACAGTTTTTGTTGACTGTTTTATTGACTCATCATGAAGTTGCATTTCCATTTTTGGATATGAAGGATGTCTCGCCTATTTCATTAAGTGTGCCTTGTTGCTCTGGGTGGGGTTGGAGAGGAGCTGTTGTGAACCCCCCCCGCACCCCACATTCTAAACAAGAAGCCTGTCATTTATTAGTCAACTGTTAATTGAAGACGAAGATGATCAGTGGCTTTATTGAATCCCATTCGGATGGCTCTTTGTCAATCATGACGTGAGCATCAGTGCAGATGCGGCATCTGTTACGTAACGTGCTGCGAAAAGGCACACACTGACCTGGGGGCAATGTTGCGTTCAAGTCGGCTGGAAAGTTGAACGCCGAAAATGAACCAGTTTCTCTTCAAACTGTTGAAACATTTCATGTAAAAAAAAAAAAAAAGTTTTGAAGAAGCATTTCACGTAAAAATGACTATGGTAAAAATGAATATGAAAATTATCTCCCCATGTTAAATCAACGCAGTGTGTTAAAAAAAAAAACAAAAAAAGATTTTGCCCTGCAGAAAATTTAAGAAAAGGTTTGATTGTTATGGCAAAAAACAGTAAGAAAACTGAAATTTCCCAGGTTACTTGAAAGCAGCATGAGTTCTACAAAAAGGAGAGTAAAACAGAAAATGAAAAATATAAAAGTGTTTGTGCTGTTGAAAAATGTTATGTAATGACCCAAGTGTCATGAATGCAGCATGCAATTCACAAAAATGAGAAACTAAGAAAAAAAAGCAGAAAAAAAAAGAAAAAATGTTACAAAATACCTTGGCGTTCGCCATTTCCCAATTTTCTGGAACATGGCCTCAGTCGTGTCTGTCTGTGTGTGTGTGTGTGTGTGTGTGTGTGTGTGTGTGTGTGTGTGTGTGTGTGTGTCTGTGTGTGTGTGTGTGAGAGAGTTTGCAGTGCGGGGCACACATTAATGATCGCCAGGCTTAAACAAACCCTCTGTGGTTGTTCGCCATCGACCCGCTGATCCACCGATCACAACCGGCTAACGGATCCGCGGAGGCCGTAATTGACTTGCTCTTTGGGACTTCACACACACACACACACACAAACACGGGCGCGCGCAAACACAAATACGTGCGGGATTAGCAGCCGCCATTAGCCACGCCCCTGTTGGTCTTTTTGTTGAATTGTTTGTTGTGCTCGTAGCGCTAATTATAAGATGTAGAGAAACGTGTGATTGCGGTGCTTGGTTGGAGTCCCAGAGGGGGATCAGTGTTTGGGCTGCCCTTTGCGCTGCCTGATTAGAAACGAGGGGGGCAGACAAAAGTATCGATTTAGCTGTCAAAAACGAAACTCCCGTGGAGCCCCCGCTATTCGCTGTTAATTGACGCCCATTGTAATTGCAATGAGAAAAAAAATGGGGATTGCGCTCCGCCTCACCAAAAAAGTTTTTATCTAACCAGAGAATCAGCTATTTTAATGCTAACATATAAGAATGTGAAGCGCCGTAGACATGCTAACTGAAATTAGCGCAGATGTTATGGTAATTAATAAAGCTTCAAAAACCACCAAAGTCACACCTTTGAGAGTTTTATACTATACTAATCCATTCAATTCATTCCTATTTCAAAATATTGCAGATTTAAAAAAAAATAAAAGCCCAAATTATTTTTTTATATTTACCTTTACCTCGTTCTAATGTTTAATTTTTCAGCTCATTTCTATTCCAAAACCATAAAAGTCCAAAAATGAAGAATTTTCTTTTTACACACATACCTTCCGTACTTATTTGGAATGAGACCATGGAAAGAAGTTCATTTTCATTGGGAACAAAGGTTCCAAGAGTTGTACAGAACAAGCCTACCTGGCCCATGAAGTCTTCACAAATGCAGCTTTCGGATTTGGAGGAATCAGCAGGCCCATACCAAATTTCTGCGGGACGTTTCTAGTCATATATATTCTTCAGAAAAGAAAAAAACAAAGCATCAATCAAAGACAATTACGTGTTGTGTATTAAGAGCAGCTACAGCCTTTGCTACCCGAATGCTAACATACAACGGGAAACTCCATCAACACACAGGCTAACAACTAGCATCTGTGTTGCCATCTTGTTACCCTTCAAACAATAGCTATTTGAACACAAAAACTGTTGAATTATGATTAATTGTATTCAATGAGGTTACGACTGTAAGGTTTTATAAAGTTGAACATTATAGAGTGCTTTTTTTCCTCATTTCAAGCCAACGGTAAGCCAGACCTTGCTAACAACGGGAGCTAGTTAGCAAGCATCCGCAGTCACATAATCACTCAAATCATCCCCATCTCCATCCCCTCCCTCATTTTACCCCAAATGAGCTCATCCTTTTTGGCTTCACCCCTTGAAATATGGCCCCCTGGTGTTTATTGGCCCGTAGGCGCCATTAAGGGAAGCAGGATGGTAAAAGTGTGTGTGGTTTGGTTGTGTTTTCGCCCTGGATGGATGGCCCGTCATGAGTCGTATTTCTGATTAACTCAAGAGAAAAAGTGTGTTTGTTTGTTTTTTTTGTTGTTGTTGTTGTTTTTTTAAAGGGCGTTCCCTATCTCTTCTTCCTTTTTCCTTGCGCCCTATCGCTTTATTTACTTATTTGGAAACTTTTAATTAGCGTCGTCATGCCCGACGGCGGAGGATGACTTGATTAAGGCTGTCGCGCGCAGTTCCAGTCTCTAGCCCGCTGATGGATGACTCCCAAGCTTATTAACTTACTCGTCACCCCCGACAATCAATAACGCGCCGGACCTCGAAATGCAAGGAAGGTGAAAGGGGGCGAGGGTGGGGGGCGAAGGGCCGCCATGATGGAGAGACGCATGATTAGCCCGCGTCGCCAATATGGAGAGAGTAGCACAGGTGTATTGATTCGGATGGATTAGGCTCAGTTGCAGAGGCTTAAAAGCCTCCTTGTTTCCTCCACTTTTGCTTGTAATCGTATCTGACACTGTCATGCTGACAGTTGATGCCAAGTTTTCATGCTAACAATCAATGGAAAATGGCGGATTTTTTATTTTTTTTTTACCAACACTCAAAGCACACCAAAAAAATAATTTTTGTTTCACCCCCCCCCAAAAAATGCTCAATATCAGATTTTAACGGGATAAATATGATGTTTTATTGTGATAAATCCGACCATAAAAGATCTTATAATGTGAAAAAGATCACGTGAAAGCATGACTTTTGTCATGTTTTAACGTGACATTTATCAGGGTAAAACGCAAAATTCATCACTTTGCAATCATAAAACCTCACCTGTTAAAAAGCTACATTTAAGATATCCTTTATTTCTCACATAACGTGAAATTGATCACGCTAAAACCCTCAAATTTACCACGTAAGATGGAACAAATCGGAACTTTCCACTTTCGTGGGACGGGAATTTTTAAAAAAAACAAAAAACAAAAAAACTTTCAAAGGTTTCAAGTCAAACCCGCCGCTTCTTGAGCACCCGCACGTTTCCTTTTACCCGAAAGACCACCCATGAGACAAGGCAGATTGAGGAAAGGTCACAAAAAAAAAAAAAAAAAAAAGAATTCCCAACGGGGTGACTTCTCCGCTCCACCAGGGCTTTTCAGCAATCGGAGCTCATCATCGAAGATCATTTTGCCGCCAATGGAGGCGCTTCAGCGTGCCGAGAAGCCTTGACATGTCTGAAGGTGACGTCCCCGCTATCCCACTTTTCGAATGAATGGAACCGAAAGTGGGAGCTGATGAAACACACAAAAGCCTTTTTCGCTCCGCGTGTTGCCATAACGATGACGACTTGATGCGATTTCAAAAGAAAATGAAATGTCCGAAGCAGTGTCATTCCATATACTGTGCACATTTCACCTGCAGTTCCTTGTTTTTTGGTATGTGTTCTACTGATTTTTTTTTTTTTTTTTTTTGTGGCACTCCTCAGGATAAGACAGGTCTACCAATTTTCATGTTGCTTCGTGAAATTCTTTGTCGATCACCTGGCAGTGGATGAAATAAGCCTAAAATGGTTACTTCAAATCCAAGTGGCAGAATTTCTGCCAGGGATGGGTTCTTGAGAATTTTTTTGGTGGGTCTACTCATAATCCACACGTCTATCAAATTTCATGTTGCTCAATGAAGTTGACTTTGGCCGGCTGAATTAAAAATATACAGGATGTGGATTTTCTTTTTTTTTTTTCAAAACAGATATGGCACCAATAAGAAAAAAAACTCTTCTGCTGCGCTAAATCAACACAATTTTTAAAATTCTGATATAAAGTGTGATTACAGCATAGTGTACTGACCTCTGGTTCTCCTCAGTTTGTGTTGTGAAGCTTCCTGAGAGGGAAAGAGCCCTTTGAGATGATGCGCGCCATTAATGTGACCGGTCTCCGTTTCCCAGCCATTGATCTTCCGATGCGGAGCCTCCAACCCCGACTGACTGCGAGAAGACGACAAGCATGATGAAGACCTTCGAAGGTCATCAATACAAGAAATCACTGCTTTTATAAAGGAATTTTTTTTGTGACTCACTGGAAATGCGAAAAAAAATCAAAATACAAAATTTTAAAAAATGGAAATCCTAAAAATACTACCTTTAAAAAAAAAAAAAAAATCTGAAAAATTAATTTTGCAAACATGGGGTTAAGGTAGAAAAATAAGATTTGTACAAAAAAAAGGTCCCCAATGAAATTCACAAAAATGCAAAATCAAATCGGTTTCCTTTTTTTTTTTTCCTTTTTTGGGGTGGGGGTTCAATGGTTTAAAAGATTATTTCTATTCACCATGAAGAATTTCATGCAAATATCACTTGATTTATGAAATTATATATCATGACTATTTTTTAGAAATGTGTTTAAAACTTGGAGCCAGCAACTTCAAACATTTAGCATATTAAGAGGAAAAAAAAAAAACAGCCAGCAACTTCAAACATTTAGCATATTAAGAGAAAAAAAAAAAAGCGATGCAAAAAAAAAAAAAAACACAAAATCCTCAGAGTGTCGCAATATGCGGCCCCGATTACACCGAACTGCACCAAACTGTCCGAGAGCGACGTAATGTTGCACCATGTTTTCCCAAGTCCCCTGAAAGAAAGTTAACTTCTCCACGAAGCTTTCAGTTCGGACATGTGAAGGATTGATGTCATAAAAGCCATTAAAAAGACAACTGAGTGCGACGTTTTTCAAGCCCTGCCTGCCCACTTAGTGGCTACATTAAATCCCTGCAAGAGAAACTTTGTCTCAATTACAGAAAATTATTGCCGACCTCAGCATTTTTTTTCCTCCTTTTTTTTCCCTCCCCCCACTCTGCTGCGATGCACATTATGAGAAATATATGCATTTTTTTTCCTCCTTTTTTTTCCCTCCCCTCCCCACTCTGCTGCGATGCACATTATGAGAAATATAGAGCGGCTTTTACCGTATGCACTCCAGCATGAGCCGTCATCTGTGACTTCTATTAGCTTGCCGCTCAATAGCGCTCTTGTCCTTGAATGTAGTGTTTCTATTAACTTTTTTTTCCTGGTTTGTTTTAATTAAAACCGCTGATGGAGTCTTTTTGGATGGGGGTGGGGGGTGGAGTTGGAGATGTCACAACAGCGCTAATGAATTGGTGATATGTCCGGCAGATGAATCAATGCAGATTGTCTGTATGGCTCGGCATGAATCAGACTGTGAGGGGGAGAGGGGGGAGAAAAAAAAAAGCATAAACAGATCCCCTGCAAGAGAAACTTTGTCTCAATTACAGAAAATTATTGCCGACCTCAGCATTTTTTTTCCTCCTTTTTTTTCCCTCCCCCCACTCTGCTGCGATGCACATTATGAGAAATATAGAGCGGCTTTTACCGTATGCACTCCAGCATGAGCCGTCATCTGTGACTTCTATTAGCTTGCCGCTCAATAGCGCTCTTGTCCTTGAATGTAGTGTTTCTATTAACTTTTTTTTCCTGGTTTGTTTTAATTAAAACCGCTGATGGAGTCTTTTTGGATGGGGGTGGGGGGTGGAGTTGGAGATGTCACAACAGCGCTAATGAATTGGTGATATGTCCGGCAGATGAATCAATGCAGATTGTCTGTATGGCTCGGCATGAATCAGACTGTGAGGGGGAGAGGGGGGAGAAAAAAAAAAGCATAAACAGATCAATTGAGCTTTCACGGCTTGCATATTGCTGACATAACGCAATCCTGGCGAGTGTGTGTGGCCAACTTGCAACCAGAGCTGTAACGCAAGCTCATTTAACATATGGCATCTTTACCATCGGCGGGGTAAACACAGCGGGGGGTGCGGAGGATGGGCAAACACACCGCGGCGCACACATTAGCACACACATACCACACACTAAGCCGATGGAAAGCTTCTTTATGACCCTTTAAAATGGATGAACTTTGTAAAGAATATATATTTGTGGGCCGAGCAGCTCAGGGGTAAGTGTAAAAATGGACTTTTGTTTGGAGCTCACGATGAAAACCAAAAGTCCATAGAGGATTTGTCCGATTTTACAAACAAAATGGCGGTGCTCATCCCACAAATGTGTGTTCCTTACAAAAGAGACATCGCTTGAAAGCATTTTGCACAGTCTTTCTATCTGCCTTACCTATATTTGCAGGACCCAATGTTAGCGTGAAGTAAGAATCCACTTTGCCGAGGCCTCAGGGTCAAAGCAAGAGCCTATAGAAGATTTGTCACATTTTACGAACAACATCGTGCTGGTTATTCCACAAATTCATGTTCATCGCGAATGGGGGTGTCATTTGAAAGGGTCATGTGCAGGCTTTCAATCTGCATTTCCTATAGCGGGACAGAAGCACGCACCTTGACGAGTGGGTCACAAGGATGTCGCTATCAGCTGTCAAAGCTTGAACTTTAATGGAGGCTGGCAATCCTAACAAATCAATGCGTCCCCAACAAGGGGCTCGGGTTTCCAACCACACTCCGAGAACGGGCATCACATGACTTGGATGGCCCCGACAATCATACACCAACCTAGAAGAAAGAAAGAAAAAACAAATCGGATTATTTTTGGTTTTAAGAGGTTAGACGCCCAGAAGCAAGCGGCAAGTCAGTTACCAAGCAGGAGGTGACGCTAGGCTATGCCAACAAGGCTGTAAAGTAGCCGTTAGGGTACATTAGAGGCTCTTTGAAGGCATCATGAATTTTTCAGCGAAGAGGGGAGAGGGGGCGGTGGGGGCATGGTCGCAACCTTAAACACACCACGGGCCCTTCAGGATACTCTCACCTTTAACCCCTGTTCTCCCTTGGGGTGGGTGGTCACGGTCAATGATCTGCCCGGTAACAGAGGACTATCACACAGGGGTCAAGTGGATGTTTTCACATCCTCAGACTGATTAAGGTGCTAAATAATGGCGGAGGGGCAGGCTGACATTGATACAGTGGCATCATGGACTGATTTATACACAGTGAAATGTGCTCAAATTAATGTTGCATTTGATGCTACTAAAATGACATTAGATGCCTCTCAGGCGAATGTGGTGATTAAATGTACATTGGATGGTTTTTAAAAATTATTACAATGGTTACAAAAATATTCTGTCTTTGTAGAGAGCAAATTTTTAATTTTATTTTAGGGTATATCTTTGGGGGAAAAAAAAAATCATTAATATCCTTCCGATGAATCAGAATTATTCTGTAGCTTTTCTGTGTGCATTACTCATATTTTCTTATTCAATTTCAAAAATGAATTATGGAGGATTCTGTGTGCAGAACCAATTCATGATGTAATTTATTAAATATAGAAAAAACATTCCATTTCAAGCTATCAAGAGCATATACTGTATAGACTGTAGCTTGCTTGTATAAAGTGCTGATTATTTTTGTAGTCAACTCATAAAAACAATACATTAAAATATGATTATATAGTTCGATTTCATTGAGTTTTTAAATGTGCATTACATTTAAAAATATAAATAACGGCAATCAGAAAACAGAGACTATTTTTTTCGAACTGAATTGAAAACAAATATAAAAATTGTTCCAATCAACAAGTAACAATGAAACGAAAATTACAATGAAACGCTGCAAAACCACGACAGAAGAAAAAAAATGTAAATCAACAGATTTTATTTTTTTTCGATGGTGGGGGCGTGTGTGGACACTTTTTTGGAGGGGGGGGGCGCCTCCGTGAGCGTGAGTGTGTGTAAATGGATTTAGTTTAGGCGAGATTAGCCGCACAAAGTGAGGCAGAGACATGCACGTCGTGGATGCGCTGGGTGTCGGGAGTGTCCATATGCTGCCAAGCCTTCCCTCGGGGACCAACACATGCCCCTCCACTGCACTGGGTCAAAATGGACACTTTGAAAGATATATTTGGAAAATACTTTCAAGCCTTCAAAAAACAAAACACAAAACGTTTCTGGTAGATGAACCATAGCTAGTTCGCTTCATGCTAACACATAATGGAAAACCTCATTGACCGACTAGCAAATAACATCAATTTAAAAATATTTTAAATTATAATACTATATGTTGTCCCTCATTTTATTCAAATACACAAATGAAATTGACTGGCTCACTCACCTGTGTGAATAAATTTGGTCTTGGATGGAGTGTACGTCACAACAGCAGCTCGTCCAATTAAGTAAACCACCACGCGTGTTTCAAACACTATGAAGCGTTTAATATGTCCCTGTTTTTGATGGACACGATTTTACTGACCATCTTTTTGGTGGATACATATGGACCAAATCCTCACGCACTTTCAACGAACTCTCCACGATGTAGAAGGAAAATAACAGTTATTTATCGACTTGAGATCGACGTTGCGACAGGCTTGACACGCTCTTCTTCTCAATTCCAGCCTCGCGGTTGGAGGCGCTGTTGAGCGATGTCTGCTCTCGTGTGGTTAATACTGGTATTACATCTTTCAAAGGCTTGACAATATAGTTTTATGTTTCGGAAATGAATATAGGGTCAGTCCAAGTGTGGGTGGGCCGCCAGTTGCCCATTCCTCTTTTATAAATAAATACATAAATAAATAAATAAATTTATGTCATGATTTAATCCGTAAAAATCCATGTGATTATGATTATTTTGAAAAGGCCTCATATCAGCCGATATAATGGACCGGCAGATTTATCAACTGGGCAACCAGTATTTGAATAACAACGCATGTCGATAAATCTTTGAAAAATATTCACAGGCAAATATTCTTTATCCTCTGCGAAAACCGATGAATATTACTATTCCTCTTATTTGCCACCAGGGACAAACTATTAGGAATAGTAATGTACACCAACCGCCTTAATTATGTGTACCATCCAATGAGCAACTCTGTAAGTTTTTCTCAAAAATAGCCATTTTTGTCTCGCATACTTCACGTCGTGCTGTTACAGTCGCAGTACAAGAGGGTTTTGTGTGGCGCACGCCGAGAGGAAACCAGCGTGGAAGAACATGGAACAAGTGGAATGACAAAGGCGAGTGTCGGCCTCACATGCACATCGGATCTCTTCCGCATGTGAATGGAGCATCTTCCCTACTGCCCTCATCTTTTTAGTACACTCCCTTGTCTTATCATGTTGAATGGAGGGCTGGAGGGGGCTGGAATATGTTACCCCACGGGAGCACAGTGGATCTCCACTGCAACCCCTGTGGAACAGGGTGAGGGCCATCTGCCCCCTTCTTCTTCTTGGGAGTAAATCCCACCTTGATGAGACACGCACACAGCGCACACACACAATATGGAGGGGCGTTACAGACAGTGTTTGATGTGCCTTTCTTATGGTCTTCAGCAACCTGCCAGCCACTGAGATACTCGATGTGTGCGTGCGTGCGAATGTGCATATATGTTAATCAATCACCCCATGTACCAAATTGAGAGAGAGAGAGAGAGAGAGAGACTATATGTACTGTAGTTTGATAATAACAACACATTGTGTGTTGTGAATTGCTCTAGTGCTTCTATTATTAATATCAATATAAACATAAGCGCTGATGTCTCAATGGAGCAATTATTGGCCAGTAGGGGCGGGGCTAGACTGTGGATGATCTCTCCATTTGAGTGTCATTCTCTCTCTTTCTTTCTCTCTCTCTCTCTCTCTCTCTCTCTCTCTTCCTTTTCTTTCCATTGTCTCTCATCCCATCCCGCCACAAAGTGGAGGAGGTAGTGGGGGGTGCACTTTTCTTTGCGGAGACCCCCCCCCAGGGGGTCGTATACATGGCAAGGAGGGAGGATCCGCTCCAATCATATACTTGTTTGAGCCTCTATAGTTGTTCTATTTGAAGGTGACCCTTCACCCCCGACTTGCCTGCAGTCCATCCAGCCATTTGTCAATGGACGCTTTTTGTCTACTGCACGTTACCCCCGAAGTAAAGTTCTGATGTTCTAGTCGGCTTTTCTTGACGTTGTCACGGCTGACAGCACAATTCGGTCTGCAGAGAGCTTCTGCGACATGAGACGTTAGTGTTTGAACGTGTTAGTCGGGAGAAGGCTGTAACTCTCGATCAGTCAGTGAGACATGTGGTGACAGAGCGTGGAGGCAGATGTCAGTCAGGCTGTTTCATTGTACTTGTGGCAGTCGAGGAACTGGCAGCACAACACACTATTGTCATTCATTTGCCCCACGGGGACTTGTTTCATTTACACCCTGCTTCTTACATCAGCGTCACACATGCGACGCTTGTGTATGTACGTCAAAACAAACAAACCAAAAGGCTATTTTAAATGGAGATAGTTTTGTGTTATTGGGCATTATTTTTCATTCATTCAAAAAATATGCATGAACAACAAGCCACAAATCATGTGTGCATTATTTAATTAATTCTTTCTCAAAATGATAAATAAAGGAGGCCACTTCTTCAGAGGAAATATGATCAGTCCTTATAAATTACGACAATGAAAAAAACGTGTGTCTCTCAACACAAAGACCAAATAATAACAACACAGTTGGCAATCATAAATGAAATACAAATGTGGGTTCACAATCCACAGCACTGATCACATCCATATAAACAGTTTCACACACGTTTGCTTGATGATTTGAATGACGATGTGCATCAATACAACAAAATCTTCTTCCAACAGTTACCATTTGAAACCAACTGTTTTTTTTTTTTGTTTTTTTTTGCCTTTAATTGGGCAGCATTTTTCACTGTCCCGTTTTATTCAGCGGAGATTTCGGCGCTGTTGGAGTCTCCGTTCGTGGGGCTGGATGGATGGATGGCTGCTGAGGAGACTTTGATTCTCTCCTCTTTAATCTATAATTGCTTCAAACAACAAGGCATATGCAGGAATAGTTGTTACGATGGCATGGCTGTCCGTGTTTTATGTTGTGTTCTGTTATATTGTGTTATTTTATGTTCACTGTTCTGTGAAGCGCTTTGTCCCAGCTGCAGACATTTTGAAAGCGCTATATAAATAGAGATATATTGTATTGTATTGTATAATAAACTTGTTTGACTTTAGTTCCATGGACGATATTCCGGATTTAAAACCGTTATTCCAGTGTAAAGTTGGAAATTTCTTTCGGTGTTTCTTTGACTTTTTGGATTGTCCAAGAGCGATTCCTCCGCTGGTCCATTTTCTGGAGTGAGAATTGTGCTGTCCAAGGTTTGCCTGGCTAAAAAAAAAAAAAAGGAAAGAAAAACTAATTAATTTGAAATGCATATCATATTCATATTTCTTTCACATGCGGAGAAACAAAATTAAAAAAAAAACACCTATAATATATTTAAGTCTGTTGTACCTCATTACTGCATTTTACAACAGGCATTTATTTCGATTCCACAAAAAAAAAAAACGCTCTGGTTAAATATTACTACACGAAAAAAAAATCACGTTCATGAATAAATCGAACACTCTTAAACGCTTAAAAAAACTCAAGTAAAAATGTTGGTGCAACTCATTGATTTAATTTGTTACTTTTATGACTTTTGGCGTGGTACTTGAGTTCCGGCTCCTCCTGGAAGGAAGCACCACACAGGTCGCAGGGGAACGGCTTGTCCCGGGCGTGAGTCCGCCTGACGTGGCTGTCGTGTGCGGCGTGGGAGGCGAAGGCCTTGCCGCAGTGCTTGCACTTGAAAGGCCGCTCTCCGGAATGCTGGCGGATGTGTGTGCGCAAAATGCTGGAGGCAGTGAAGGCCTGAAGTGGAAGGCGAAGACCGGGGAGGGGGTGACAAAGTAGTTCCACATAAAACTTATTTAATCATTGTGCGGCAGTCGCGTTAGAAAACGTGTTAAATTTAATTGAATATAAATTAATCTGTGAATCTCGTGTGGACATTAAATATAATTATAATACGCTTGATTCCATTTGAGATTCAAGACCGGCGATTCATGATTTTAATCAGGAAATTAATTAGAACTACAATTGCTAACATTTGTGGCTGCCTTCAAAAAAACAAAACGTGCCCAATTCAATTGTTATTTACCAGTGGAAGTTACATTTAATTAATATGATGTGTAATAAATCCATCTTGCTGTGACTGGAAATCATGGCTTTGAGCCTTGTCATTAATGTAATTAAAAAGGTGATACATTAGTTCCACTCAGAACGCGACCGTCTGTAAAATTAAAACTTGATGAATTAATACAAAAGGAATTGTTTGTAATTTTTTCCTTTTCATTAATATGCTCAATTATTGTTGCGACCAAAAACAATAATTTCAAGGGTTGGCCTTAATATTTCTAATCAGTAAATAAAGCAGCTCCACTTCTTAAGAATTGGAAACAAAAATCTTGAAAACAAAAATATAATATACTATATTTAATATACCGGTACAATAATTTGAAAGTGAAATATAATTAAAATGCTCAATTCGTTTAAATGAAATCCATCGGGTTTTTTTAATAGTACATTTCATGAAACATACTGCACATTTGACAGGTAATTTCCCGTCATCTACATAGTGCAAAACCAGAGTTTTTAATATTGTAATTCACATTTTTAATCAGGCAATAAAGTAGTTCCACTATACGCTTACTCTTTTTGTCTTTTTCTTAGTGTTTAAAAAAATATGTGCGAAATAAAATCAATATAATTATCATTTGTCCGTGTCTGTAAAAAGAAAATGGGTAAAATGCAACGTGAAAGAAGAAAAAAAGAACAAAAAAGAACTTCTGCTCATTCTACGGTCGTAAATTAAACGTATAATGTGACGAGACAAAAGGGCGAATGTACATCTGGCGATAATTAGCATGTAAGTGTGTCACCGAAGTGTGCCCGCGGAGGGACACAATAGCCAAGCGCTGAATGCGCCGTAAAATAAGGAAGTGAATGAGTGACAATACCGCACAAACATGGCGATTAAAATACCCACCATCTTCGACAAATCTTCCACACCAGACGTACATTCAAAACAATAATTTATAACAATGATAATAATAATAATAATAATAATAATAATCATAATAATGAATATATCGATAGATTTCACCTTGTTGCAATAGACACACTTGTACGGGCGTTCTCCCGAGTGGACTCGCATGTGTTTGTTGAGGCTGGACGACTGCGAAAAACTTTTTCCACACACTGTGCACTGCAATATAATAACAAATCATGTTATAATTTATTGATTTATTGTAAATTTACGAAGTTTCAATGTTCGGGTTCACAGTTTTGTCCTGACTATTTTTTTTTTTTTTAATAACAACATTGAGACATAATCTCAGTACCTTGTGCGGCCGGTGTTTCTCGTGCACGTGGAGGATGTGTATGCGCAGGCGGTCCCTCTTCTCGAAAGAACGGCTGCACAGGTGGCACGGGAACTTGCGGTCACCTCGGTCCACGCAGCGAGTGTATTTCAAATGCTTGTCCCGGTAATACTTGTAGGCAAACACCTTGCCGCACCGGTCGCACTTGAAGCCCTCGCCAGCATCTGAGAGAAAAAAATTATGAAATAATAAATGTAGGTTTTGTTTGTAATTTATTCTGGAGTTTCTTCCTGTGTGCCCGCTTTAGCCACTAGAGGGCAGTATAATACACTTATACTGTACAGACTGACAAAAAGACACCTCTCACTGACTCACTAAGCTGGAATGATATCAGTCTTTCTTTGCAGAGGATCAATAATATATGCCTGTCAGTATGGTGAGATTGTCTACCTACATGTGTTGTTTCTTCAAATGCAAATTTTTCGAAAATACAAGGGCCACTGCAGTTTTTTATTGGTCCCCATCTCTGATTCCTGGTCTCACCTTCAGCGGGAGGGAGGGTGTCATTTTCTTCATCGGGACCCCTGAGGGCGAGCGGGATGCCCAAGAACTGCACGTAGCCGTCTCCGTACCACACCAGGAGCTCCTGCTCACCTCTGATCTCCTTGCAGGCTTCGTAGAAGATCTGACCCTTGACCTGAATCGCCGCCAGGTTCTGTTCGTCGGCGAAGCGGGCGCACTTGACTAGCGACATCCAGTTGCCCGAGCCGCCGCGGCCGTCCACAAAGTGGCTCAGGCGGCCGTTCTCAAACACCTGCGGAAAACACAGGTCGTTCCACAGGATAAAGAATATATGCCTGGGAGTATTGGTAGGTTTGAGTTCAAATATCCATACCCTGACTCCACAAGACGAGTCCTACCTCCCACATGAGGGTGTTGTCGTCATAAGTCTTCATCTCGCTAGTGTTGACCAGTTTCCCCAGGAAGGGTCCGAAGCGTGTGCCTTTGGGCACGTTGCTTTTGGCGTCGGTGAACACGCCACAGTGAGACACGGTGCCCCAGCATGCTTGCACCACGCTGAGACCTGCAAAAGGAACGTTGCTCACGTTCTGTCACGCAACAGAAAAGTGCACTGCAGTGACTTTTAGGCTCACCCTCAGGAAGGTCCAGAGCGTCCTTGTCCAGAGGGAGGACAGGACAGTCTGAAAGGGAATCAGAGTGGATTGGATGACATATTTGGCATCAATTAATTGATAATTAAACATGTATCAAATTTATTAAATACATGTACATGGAGTACAGAATGGATTTTTTCTTTAGTTGTTCTTTTTTTTATACCAGAAGCTCAAAATTTGTAAAAAAAAAAATAAAATTTATATATATATATA